TTAAGCACTTTTTGTGCTTCTTTACCATACATTTCCTGAAATTTCTTAAGAGAGTCCTTACGATTAACGCTCCTTTTTAAGTGGTAAAAAATATCTACCAAAACTTCATCTATCCTAACGGGAAAAGTTGCAGCAGCTTTTTCAGAGGCAAGATGTATTAAATGGCAGCAGCATCCAATTGATATTAGGTGCTCATTTTCTTTTTCTAAAAGTGAAATCACACCATTTTTCTTTCCCTGCATAACAGAAGCATTATCTGCACTGAATGCTATACAATTTCTAAAAGAAATGTCATATTTAACAAACACATTTAAAAGAAGGGAGCTTATATTTTCACCTGTGGAGTTTCCGTCCAAATTTGGGATTGCCAATAAAGTACTTTCAATGCGTTGAAGATTCACGTTAAAATAACTCACCACAACTGGGTACAACTTATAATCAGCTTCGTGACTACCATCACATGCTGCAGTAAATGCTTGTTCTTGCAAATATTTAATAATTTCTGAAGTTCGATCCATAGCCATTTCATGGACAAGGGATGCAGTTTTGGTTTTAGCACATCCGTAACGTTTCGCAATTTCACTTTTCGGAAACATCTTTCGAAAAAGCGGACCCACATGGCTGGCGGCATTTAGCGGAACATTACGCTCAACTAAAAAAGAGGTAAACAATAACTCAGCACGCATTACTTCATCTTGGACATTATCAGGTGGCTTAAAAAATTTGCTTAGTCTTTGGTTATTTTCAGCGTTTTCAATGTTCTTGGCATGATTCGGGTTACGTGACGATGTATATCATTTCTACCTCCATGCGATATTAGAAAGTCAGAAAAACAAATCGTACAATAAGCATACTTTTCTCCTTTGTTTGATTTTTTTATGCATGGAAACTCTGCAGTATAAGAATTCTTATACGATTGAAAATAAGTTTTCTTCGGTTTCATTTTTAACGCACACCACGTGATTACAAGCTAAGTAGTAGTCGACAGTTCAGTACCGTTTTCGTTCGTTACAGAGGGAGGGAGAACGACGTTTGGATCGGCTAGTTCAGTGACGTAGTTGAAACGGGGAGTGGCAATAATGACGGGAACAGCGCATTCACTAGAGTGAGACTGGAAGCAGTTACGAGGGAGAAAAGGAGAATAACCAATCAACTGGTTTACACGTGAACGTGCCGTTACTATGGCTAGAAGGATAAGCCACTTATAAGGGGTGTGTGGTTACCGTGTTGCTTTGGAATAGATCGGAAAACTCGTGTCATTTTTTCTGTTTTCCCCCTTTACAAATGGTTTTACTCTAGCTCCGTAGCAGCTGATAATCGCGGAATTTTGCCGATGCACTAATCGCACAACGTTAAAAACGGGGGATCCGTATAAATTTCAGGTTAATCCGTAGGCCCGTAAAATTAGGCGTAAATCCGTACATTTTACGGATAATCCGTTAAAGTTGGCAAGCATGTTATATGTATAATTTGGTATAAAAATGAAATTAAGATGAAAATTAAATTAAAAAATTTGAACAAATATTATTTTCTTTTTCTTTTGTTTTGAAAAAGGAAAAAAAGAGACTTGTTTGTTTTGATTATTAAAAAATCTCTGTAAAATAGACGTTGCCAGAAAAAGTACATACAGATATAGGATTTAGTATTTTACATCAAAATATGATGATGAATAACCAGTGTATAAATTTTAGCCTAAGGTGGTACAACAAAATCTTTTTCATGTGTACAACACAGACATCCATAAAGCTAATTGGAGGATTTAAGACAACACTTTGCTAAGGATAAGATATAACAAGCATCACTGATGACTGAATATATGTTACTTGCAAGTAAAAGATTTTTAAAATTTGCAAATAACATTACACAGGTTTAACATAATTTTAGTTCAGCAACATAAAACAGAATGGAAGTTTTAATTAATTGCCTGCACGTACAATTAATTAAAATAAAATATTAATTCCTTTATTCTCAATAAATAGTATCATAAATAGTTGTTACAAGATTAATTTCAATGGTATGTTGTTTTTAATCTTGTTTCATGGTACCCAGATAAGATTTTCTTAGTAGAATATCCAATTGCATTAGATATTTAATACATTTTTTCAGAAAGTTAAAAATTTATAATGATCTTAATCATGGAAACTAAATCTATTAATATTTGTTTGTTTCAAATGTTCCAAATATTCAAAAAAAAATTTGTGTAAGAAATTAAAATAATTATATGATGCATGGTAATTAAATGTATTAAAAATCCTAGGTAAACTTGAATAGTTCATTTCAAATATGGATAAAACTATACATAAAAAAATAAAAGTTGTATCAAAAATTAAGTAAAAAAGTAATTTATTTCAGGAACCATACTCTGAAGGTTTTTTGAATGGATATTAACACTTTGATGCAGATGAAGTCCTTTTATATATTTTTTCTGATGCTCTAATTACTAGGAAAAATATATTTTAGTATTTTTTAATTATAATGGTTACTAAAAAAAATTTAGATTATCTTACATATTTGTACTAAAATATTAACAAAAAAGTAATTTGAAACTTTGATTTTCATTCTTATTCAAAGATTTATCATTAATCGATTTTGTAAATTAAAGAAAATTTAATTAACTATTTCTCTGAGATCTTAATGACAGCAAATAAGTGCAATTTTATTGCGACCAATTATTTAAGACACCAGTGTCTCATGCTATTCATAACCATAAATTATTAAAATGCTAAATATAATATTTTTCACTTATTTTGAATTAAATTAATGCAAATTGATGAAAAAAGTAGGAAGGATATATTTAGTAAAAATTCTGCATCAAAGGGTTAACATTTAAACATAAATTTATTATTATTGTGGTGTAAGATAATTTTAGACTAAATAGATAATTTTAGACTTGGTGTAAGATTTAAGTATTAAAAATCTGTTAAACTCATCATGAAATCAATGCTTTTCTTTCTTTTATTTTTAAATGAAATACATAAATATTTTAAGTAATATTAATTTTATAAAGAAAGATCTTTATTCAATTTTTTGGAATATTTGGCAACTTATCTTAAAAATTATAAATCATAACTGTAGACATGAAATAACGTATGATTTAAATTATTTAGCTTTAGTATTTGTTTAATACAAAAATATTACTAATCAACACTATTAACTAAAAAGCATAGCAACAAATATGATTTTCTTTTACACCAAAATTGAAACAAATGTCTAGTAGAACCTTGATATGAATAATTAGATAAACTGTTAGTTAGTTTAAAAAAAAAAAAAATTACCACTTCCAATCCTTTAGGAACTTTAAGACCTTCAGGTATTTCGTACAGATCATCTTCTGGATCTTCAACTGTAAAATATAAATTCAATTTAAAATATGTTAATTTAATGACATAGTAAGGAAAAACATACAGAGTGGCCTTTTGAAAGAATTTGAAAAATTCAGCATTAGATTTGTAAAGAAATATCAGTTTTTTTGTTTGGATAGAAGTTATCAGTAATTGATCTTAAAAAAGCCATATTCTAAGACTTGGAGGAGTAAATCATTAATTAATGAGACTCAAGAAATATCAATCCCTTCACAATAACATTTAACAAATTTATCTCATAACCTCTTCAATAATACTAAGATAAAAAATAAATTAAAGTCAGTTAGAAAGTATATAGGCATGTGATTGCAAAAAAGATTATGAAAAACGCAAAAGAAAAAAAATTCAAATATTTGAAAAATAATGAAGACAATATAGTGTTCAACACAAAATAATCTTACTTTTGTTAAAATGTTGCATAAAAAACATTAAATCACATGTTATATAATAATAATTAACAGCAAATTAGTTAAAGTTTTAACTAGAGGAATAATAAGTTACTAACAGACCCAACATATTAAAACAGTGGCAATTGAAAAATGTTCAAATTATCTCGGGATAATGAAATGTTTATAATAACATTTCATTTAATTAAATCAAATTATATTACTATATAAAATTCATTATACAAAAATATGGCCAGATTTAGATATCAAAATTGACCATAGAAATCTCACTTTAATTGACACATCCTATAACTAAACAAAAATGAATTAGTGAACCTAACAAAATACACTGAAAAAAACTAAATTTCCAGCATCTGGTTTGCATCTTTTTTAATCCACAGATTAAAAGTTTCATTTGATTAATAATGTAAACAATTTTCCTTTTCCTTTTGCAAAAATTCCATAAAATCCCAACCAAATTCAGGTTTATTGCTAGTGGTGTTAATGCAATGAAAAAAATCGGGATTTACTTTGAAAATATTCTTAAAAAAGTATACAATAAAATTAATATGCTAACTAAAAATAATAATCACCTAAATGGGGATATTAAAAATAATATACAGGTGTGCTAAATACACTCAAAACTTTAAATAATTGATTCTCTACGCTGTTGCGATTTTAAAAACTTATATACTTCCCTTCCAACTAATAAAATTCTTGATAACCTTCTTCAAATTCATTGCATGTTTAATTTCAATGATATTATTGATGAAGACAATTGAAAATTTCAAGTTCATATTAACTTCAACAACAATTATATACTCTATAATCACTGCCTTTTTCAACAAATTAATGGCATACCCATGGAAATAATTTTAGTACTAATATTTGCAATATTTTTCTTTATTTACAAGAATATAAATTCGGGAAATAGTATGTTAATCTTCCTATTGATTCCTTCTTTCTCAGATTTATTGATGATCTTTTTGTTATTAATTTTAATGATTTTGATATTTCAGTTGAATAAATATATCCAAGTGAATTAATTCTTAATAAAACTAATAGCAGTAATTCTTAAGCAAATTTTTTAGATTTAACTCTTAATATTAATGAAAATAGTAAAATTACATGTAAACTTTTTGACAAGTAATGATTTTAACTTTCCAATTAAAAAGAGCATTGATTTTAATTCTAACTTAGACAAAAAGGTTTTTTCCAATATCATTACCAATCAGATTCATAGGTTTTACATAAATAATTCAAACTATAAAGAGTTTCTGCATGAATCAGTATATCTATTTTTAAAACATTTTTTACTTTTGCCCAATGCCTGTAAGTTTGTTTTCTGCTTTATTTTACTTCAAACTCAATTTCAACAGCATTTTTATTTTTTAGCGATACAGATCCATCATAAAGATTATGAGAATATTTATCTTAGGATAATTATTCTCATTCATCGTAAGGGATGAAGACCTTCAAGTTTTCCCATAAGTTTTTTATATTTTATTTCTATTATTATTTGTGTGTTTATATATATATTTGTGTGTTTATATATATATATNTATGTATATCAAGAGAGAGAAAGAGAGATGTAAAAATAGAAACTGAAAAAAAAAAAAAAATCCTGAACCTAGGGAAGAATATTCTTTTTTTTTCTGCCTAGTTACTAAAACTCTAAATTGAAATAAAATCTCTTAATGAATTTTTATTACCTTTCAATGTTGATGATTCTTCTGCATTATCACTTTCAGGATTATCATAACTGAAACCTATCTCATGATATGCTCCATCCCCAGCTATAGCAGCACGTAATCGTTTCAATTCCTCCTCTATAACAATAGCAATAAGAATTAGAACTCTTTAAAGCATATATAAACAAGCCAACATAAATTCATTAATTAAATAAATTTAAAAATAACAATATTTGTTAGATACATTGTCTTTCACTAGAGATAGATGTGATGACATGAGAAATAAAACAATTATAAATTTTATAATAAAAGCAACTTTTTTTTCAAAATTACAATTATTGTAAAAACTTTAAGCAGCTCTATAAATTAAATACTTTAGTTAACAAAGGTAAATTTAAAAAAAAAAAAAGGTATAATAAACCAATGAGAAATGTAATCTTTAGCAAGTTGTAGACCGACACTTGATTAAATTCCAAAACTATGCAAATTCAATTGTATTTAATTAATTTTAAATGTATTTAATCGTACAATTTTAGTACAAACACTTTTTAATTATAAATAACATTTTCCGAATTGCTGTTGCAGAAATGAAAATTTATAAGGAGAAAAATTAAACTCATTAATCACAATTCATTTTGTAATATCTGCAAATTAAGAAATTATGCATGGAGAAAAGAAAAGTAAGCCTAAAAGATTAATAATGAAATAACTTTTTAAAACAAAGACAATTTTGGAAAAAACAATTAACCATTAATACACGTTTTAAAAATCTATCCAAAATGTTGATGTTTTATTTTAAATTATTAAAATTTTTTGATTAAAAGATCTCACATAATATAAAATTCTGTGATTATTTTATGAAATTAGAGATATCAAATGCATTGAAAAAAGTTACATTTGTTCAATTTAATGTTTCACTTTTAAAGTTATATTTATTTTCTTGATGAAGAAAAATACCCACAATGTATATTTATACGTAACAAAGTAAAACCAATAATAACAGTTCAATAAATTAAATTGTTAAACATCTATACATTTTCACTAAATTTTTTTAATATCATTTTCAATATAAATGGAAAAAGTATCGACGAGTACAAACTAAAAAACTAACACTGAAGCATGAAAAGAATTAAATCAAAAAATTTATATAGTTAATGAATTTTACCATAAATTTAGCCTACATACAAACCATATATTTTCATATAAAATTTCCCCACATTTTTTGACATACAAACCAATTCAATATGCTTTTCTGACTTGACCTAGTTATGAAATAGACCATGAATTATTATTGCATAGGAAATTAAATAATTAACAACTGATAAACTATCACTGTAACTGCTAATAAATTTAAACTTAACCAAACATTTCTGATAAAGAAAGTTTTAAAATAAAGTAGCTAATAATATTATTGAAATAACTTGATGTTATTATGGGATGGCATAGTTTAAAAATAAAAGGTTTGAAGTCTCATTTATTCATAAACACAAATTTTAGAAAAAAAATTCAATACGAGTATGAATAAAAGCAATGACATTCTGCACATATAGTAGAGAAATGATCAAGAAAATTTTTAATAAATATTTATTTAAGAATACTATATTTATGTAAGAATACTATTAATGTCTGAGAGCTAAATCAGTTTACATTTTGAAAAACAGGCATTTATGATGCTAACAAAAGAAATTTTCGATAAATTAAATTTTAATCTGTGAGAAGAAGAAAAAAGACCCAAAATCTCTCGAAGTTCATCAGAAAAAGTTTGCCTATTAACTTTTAATTGTATTATACAAACTTAAACCGCCAAAAAGTTATAAAAATAGTAGTATATTTATTTCCCTGAAAACTTTTAATAATCCATTTCAAGAAAATTAAATTGCAATCTAAGTGCTATTTGGAAGTAAAGATCTTATCAATGTCAGGATATATAGACAAGAAAAATTTAAACTAAATATTATTTGCTCGGATAAAATGCTTCTTAAATTAAACCAAAATCCAAATAATAAATAAACAGTAATACTGTGATAGTTTATCCTTAAAGAGGGTTTATAAAAAAATTGTATTACATTTCTTTTAATAATAAATAAGGTGCTTAAATGATATGATTTGCCTTAAAATTAAACTATTTTTATGAACCCACTTTATAAACAATACAAGCTGCCAACCTGATTATTTTCAGCAGTTATTACAACAAAATATCATTATTAAGTTATTACAGAATCATTATTAAATAATTAGTAGGATGATAGCAACTAAATAACAATTTTACAAGAATTTCTTTAGAGTTAGTATTGATTAAAATCTAAAAGTATAACAACTTTATAACTCAAATCAAGAAGTAAACAAATATTTATACCCAAAGAATTACTTTTACAAAATTAATAATCAGATTACCAGCTTTAATTATAGACTACAACTGATAAACATATTTTACTATAAAATATAATAAAATAATTCCCAAAAATTGTTTACAATATGGAAGTCAGTCTTTCACTCTGCAAGATCCGGCTTCCTCCTACTAGCTTGCTGAATCTACACCAGCAAAGACAGTTGCCAATCGATGACCAAATACTATTTCTGCACAAAAAAAACTGAGACACATTATTGCAAAAAGATAGTATCAACATCAAATTACTGAGAATAGCCACATGTTAAATAATTTGAAGAAGATATTTTCTACCAATGAAGAATCTGTAGAAGCAGAATATATTTTTATAATCCTCACATACAATTTAATTTCAATAATAACTGAAGCCTTTAATTAAAATATTCTAAATAATATATTTTTTTTGTCAGGAATAAATAACGTTGAATACCTTGATAAAGTTGTTCTTCGGTCATGTCGGTTCGTAAGGAACGGTACCGCTCTTCATCTATAAGTTTTTCTTCATCTGACGAATGATCATAACCTCCAGGTTTTGGCTCATATTGCTTCAAATCGTGCAAATAGCCTCGAACATCATATCTGTAATAAGAATATATTATTAGTTTTTAAAAATTATCAAATTTTTCATAAATCTTTCACTTTCTGTGTAAATAACAATGACTTTAAAGAAGAGAAAAATGCACAGGAATTTTTCAAAACTTCATTTCTGAACATCACATTTACTTTTTAAATTATTTTCAGTAATATATTACAGAATGAACACATTGTTTCATAATTATATGACAAATAATATATAATNTGCTAAGCATTATCAGGGGTCCCTTCAGGGCAAATTTACTACCGCTTAGCAGGACCTTCAGAAATTCAAAATAAGGAAAAACGGTAGTTTCGCAAAATACTTTTAAAGAAGCGAGTTCTAATATTCCCCTCCTGCTTCTTAAAATTTTGTTGTATACCTATAAAAACGATTAGCCCCGGGTTAATTAAGCATTTGAATTTGTAATGGAACTTTTCCCGTGAATTGCTATTATGAGAAGAATTCGCTTCCCATATGGTTTGTAAGAAAAGTGCTTTTCCACCCCATGCCTGGCTGAAAGCATGCCGGGATCCCGAAACACCATGGGAGGAAGGATCGTCAGCTTCTCCATTCCTTAATTGAAGTGAAAGTAAAAGCGCTAGCAGGGGTCTGTCTAGGTTTTTCTGAGAGGTACCGATTTTGTGAAAATTTTGACATAATTTGTGAAAAATTAAAAATTATATTTAAAAATCAACACAAAAATATGGTAAAATATGGATTTATTGTTTCTTAAGGGATACAAAAATAAAATTTTAAGAAAAAGTATTTTGTGAAACTATTGCTAAACGGTAGTAAATTCGACCTGGTCAGACCCCTGGCTAGTACCATGCAAGCCCTGTTCTCGTTGCAATCTGGGGGGAAAAGGAGCTCTTCTATGAATAGGTAGCACATGTTTGGACAGTCAGTGCGGTGTGGTAAGCCTAACCTGTAGCTTACGCCATATTAAAGCAAGCTTTTTTTAATAAATGAAATGACAAGGGTCACTTTGTAAAGTTTACAGGAAGTCAAAATTCGAACTATTATTTTAAACAATATTCTAAGAAACCTTTATTTTTTTCTCCTAGGAACTTTTTTCTGTATGATCATTGAAAATGTTCTCAAAATAAGGATAAGTTTCAGTGCTGTAAATATATGTTTTTATTAAATTCCAATTGAAATTTAACTATGGACAATGATTTTTAAATTTGGATGCAATTTTAAGCCCAAAATTTTACAATAGCAAAATTGTTTTTGAACATGTGGGAAAAATATATATATATAGAAATTTACCAGTCATAAATGATTTTTATTCGTAGTGATAATTTTTGAAAATATTTTCTTATTTTGCCATATTTTTGTGTCTAATTTTCAAAAATTATGTCTAAATTTTCACAAAATAGGCATCTCTTAAAAAAACCTAGATAGACCCCTGATATATAAAAAGTTATATGAGCTTTTAATTTCAAAAATTGATACTTTAAATGCTCTCTGATATAAGCACCTTCAAACCATGAGCCTTTCTTTTAAGTTTATTTGAAGTAGTAGAGTTATTAACTGGTAACTGGCATTTTTTTCTCATAATATGTTTACAGTATCTTTGACATTATCAGATTTTCTATAAAGAAATTTTGTGAGAAAAGAAATTCTAATGAGTACGCAGATTTTTTTTAGCTTAACTTATCTATTTTGACATAAGATTAAAATGAATATTTTAATATAAAAATATATAGATAAAATATTTATTTATTTTTGATGAATAACTACATTTACTGTTGCTGTTGTTAATTTACATCGCACTAGAAATGCACAATGGGCTATTGGCGACGGTCTGGGAAACATCCCGGAGGATGATCCGAAGACATGCCATCACAATTTTAATCCTCTGCGGAGGGGATGGCACCCCCGCTTCGACCTGCACGCGAAGTCGAGCACTTTACGGTAGCACAGTTTAACGATGACCAATACCGCACACCCTCGGTCCCTACGCAGACTGATCCAAGTGGTCACCCACCCGCACACTGACCGCAGCCAGTGATGCTTGACTTCGGTGATCTGCTGGGAACCGTGTCTTAACGATCAGTCCACTGCGGAACTAACTACATTTATAAACACAATCTGATACATTAATTTTGTCATAATAAAAATCAAGAGAAAAAAATCACAATTTTAAATTAAAACAATGGTTTGGTAATTGAAACTTTGTTTTAATAGTTAAAGAACAGGGGTCTGTCCAAGCCAAATTTACTACTGCTTAGTAGGCCTGGGCAATATACCGTAATACCGTCATTTACCGGTATTTCTTTGATACCGCGGTAATGATATTCGGAAGTATATTCTTCGGCAATACCGAGTTATTGAACTTCGGTATGCCTGCACCTCTCGGTACTCACCGCTAGCCAATATCTTCGGCCGACCGGCGGCGAGGAAGTGGCGGTATGGTATGGTATCTAGGAGGTATTGGTATGGCACGTGATTGATTTAGGGGTGAAGAACTCAAAGGCTTGCGCGTAATATTTACGGTACCTCCTCTCGGCAGCTAGAAATTTCTCCTACAATATATTGTGGTATCATTTGACTTTAAAGCGCATGCGTCATATCCGTGGTATTGGCGATATCGGATTTCAAACACCCGCACGTTATATCAACCCTCCATGGTATACTTAGTTACTGATTTTGGTTTCATTTTGAGAATAGCGTGCTTCTGATTTTAAAAATATCCGAGATTGTCGGATCTCCTTGTGATGTTTATAATTGTGTTGATATTTATAATTGTTGATGTTTATAATTGTGTTGATGTTTATAACTGTTTTGATGTTTATAATTGTGTTGATGTTTATATTAGTAATTGATGTTTATATTAATAAAATTTTTCTGTTTTAAAATAATGATGCTTTATAATTAGTTGATTCCATGTGATAATTATGCTGCGAGCTAATATAGGATAAGTACCCCATTTTTTTTAAATGATGCTCTTTAAACACATTAATTTTTAATTGCAAAATAGTCTTAGCATTTATAATATACAACATAACAATTTAATTACCGCGGTATATCATAATATCGTGATATGAAGCTCACAATATACCACAATATCGAAATTCTGACATTGCCCAGCCCTACTGCTTAGCGGTACCTTCACAAATTACTTTTTCTTAAAATTTTATTTTTGTGTTGATTTTTTATTTTTTACAAATTATGTCTAAATTTTCACAAAATAAGTACCTTTCAGAAAACCCTAGACAGACCCCTGAAGTCTTTTTTAAACCCTCTATTTCATCTAGTCTTTAAATTTCAATCATACATTTGTTTCAAAATGGTTGCTAAGCACTCAAAGCTATGTATTATAATGATAAAATGATTAATCATAAATTAAAGTTTTTACAATATATTTGAGAAAAAATCAAAAAAATCTGATTAAAATCAAACAAATCCGATTTAAATAAAAAACATCTGATTTTTTTTACTTTTTTTAAAAAATCACAAATCCTGCTACCAACACAGATCAAGTCTAGGGTTCATATCATAAAGAACAGACAATAATTAGGTGCGACGAAAGGAGACTATTTCTTAATTTAGAAAAACAAGAAAGTAGTGCATTAGAAATATACACGATCCTAAAAGTTTGGCGACACCAGCTAGCCTGAAAAAAATGGAATATTTTGGGGATATTTCTATATTGATAGATCGCAAAGGTCCTAAAGTTATAATATCCTATGTTATAATATATATCTTATTACAAATTTGTGAGTAAAATATAAGTTGATTTTATATGTTGCTCTTAAGGTATCTACAAATTATACTACCTTTCTAGTTATCGCTACCTATGTTTTTTTTTAATTTCTCATGGTTCCCAAAACTAGGCTATTATTTCTGAATAGAAACCTTTCTCAAAGTCAGTTCGAGATACATAGTAAATTTCGGATTCATTGCCAAAAGAATATAAAAATCATATAATTTTCTATCAAAGGGAAGATTTCCAAACTCTGATTAGCAAAAGAATAATGGCAAAGTCTTAGCAACTTCCAGGCAGTGGCCCGTGAAAAACTAAAACAATCATCACAGAATAGGACCAACTTGAAGGATATAACTCATACCAACCCCCAGCAAACTGGAAAAATGTCTCTTTTGCGATCTGCGGCAGAAAAATCGCAGAAAGCTAAAAAAAATAAATCACCGAGGACCAACTCAAAGGGCTACATGCTATTTTTTAGAAAAATGTGCAAGTTTAAAATCCATTTGAGTCATTTGACACCACAGCGACTATAGTTGGCGCAACAAATCATGACATAGAAATATTTTTGACCAATATCTAAATGAATTTTTCAAAATATTTATAATCATTCGGCAAGGATTATTTCCCTAATGTGATCTGTGGGGAGATTTATGTATTATGATCTGTGACAGAATAATCACCTAGTCTTGGCAACTTCCGGGCAGTGCCCACAATAAACTAAAATAAACACACAGTAAGGGACCAACTCGAAGGTATAACTCGTGGCCACCACTGGGCAAACATCTATTTTTTTTTTTTTTTAATTTGCAAGTTTAAAATCTATTTGGCACCTTGGTGACTGCAGTTGGCGCGACGGATCACAATACGTAAATATCCACCAAAACTTATTTATCTTCCCTTTTTTTTTTTGCATGATGTGAATATTTTTAATGAGAAGTATGACGATGATCATTAAAACTCCTATTGTTCACTCAGAGGGAATTCATAAAATAAATATTATCCTTCACAGTATTTCATTTTGAGAAAGGTAAGTTCTAACTTTAAAATCAGCTATATAAAACATTGGGTTCATTTCATTTACTTAGAATTTACATTTAAAAGTCAATATTTATAATACCGGTCAATCATAAGAGTTTTATCTCCCATCCATGGAATGAGATGCTGCCCTTTTTCAATGTAGACAGCCTTTTCATCTGGAGGAAATAATTTGCAAGAATATCCAAATAAAAATAGCTTTTCATTTGGATCAATTTTGGTAGCCCCCAATTCGACGTTCCAGCTTGAGATGTCCGCCATTTTAATTGAAAGTAATGTTTATGAATTTGATCTTTTGATGAAGAAGAACAAGACAAAGTTGCAGTTATATAACATGAAACTTGAGATTCGAATTCTTAACAAAAATTCAACTAAAAGCAAAAAGTGAAGCATCATAATCAATCATTATTATTATTTCTTCATAAAGCTCATTTTTTTTTTAAATTCAATTTAAAAATAGTGATAATTATCATTATTTTTTAGGCTGTTGCTTGGCTGACCAACTGTTTAATAAATAGAGGCATTTGATTGGTCCATTACACCAACGTTTTCATCGTTATCGCTTAATCGTTTTGTCAGGTTTACTAGAATGGCGTTTTTAGCATTTTTGTTCTGCACAATTTTAATAACGCGCAAGCTCAGTTTGATAATTTGTTCAAACCAATCGAAGTACTTCGTAGACAATGAATATAGAGGCTTGTATCCCCTCCTTTGCTCGTGTATACTCAAACAAAGACATAAAGATGGAAAGATCAATCACTGTACCAAACAGATGTCAGGGTGTACTTAGACACTGGACACATCACTGGTCTCTATTTTTTTTATTTGATTTTCATAAATTGTTATGATAAATAATAACATTCTGTCTCTGTGACAGAAATCAGAACACATTTTTTTTAAAGATTTATAATTTGTGAATTTTAAATGAAAAAATTAATGTATTTTAAAAAATTGATTTTTATATTGTTCTGAAATTCAAATACTTGAAATAAATATTAAAAAAACAATTTAAGTGCTTATTAAAAATATATAAAAAATATAAAAGTAACTAAAAAATAAATAAAATAATTAAAATAAAATAGAACAGTTTTATAAGCAATCTAAGCTGCCCAAAGCATTTAATTTCATGATGAACAATAAATTGGAAAATGTTAATAATTGCTGAGATAGAGTCTCATAATTGCCTGTTAGCGTTCAGTTAGTTAGTTATTAAAACTTTTTCATGGTTTTCATTTGTGCGTAATCTAAATTCTAATTATTTTCATTCAAAAAGTCTTTCAAAATATAATTTTATTCCTGTATTTAAATTACAAGTAACTTTGATATCTGGGTTGCCTACAAAAATTCAAAAAAGTACAAAAAAAATTTAGAGCATTTCACAGCATTTACTATTTATCAAAGATGATTAAAAAAAAATTATTGATTATTAAAAAATAATTTTATTGCGATAATCAACATTAAGCTGGAAACCTATTACTATTAAGCAATTTAAAAGACTTTTTCGTGGTTTTCCTTCGCATGTAACACAAATTTGATTACTTTAATTTAATCTTCATTAAAATAAATTATTCTTATAACTTTCATGAATATGATTGTATTCTGATACTTAAATTGTTAATTACTTTGATCTCTGAATTGAATTAAGCATAATAAGGGTGTTTCATTACATTCACAAAATAAAAAAGCTCACACTTTGATTTCTGGGTTGAGTTAATAAGAAGAGCTTTTCGTTCTGTTCAGAAAGATGGTACCCTATCTATTAAGGATAATAACAATGAAAAAATGTTTATCTATAATTTTTACTCCGATACTTAAATTGCAAATTATTTTATTTTATATACCAATAACAGCGATCTGAAAAACATTTTTGTCTGTTTTTCATAGCGTGTAACGCGAAATTTGATAATTTTAATTTCAATTTAATCTTGATTATAATTAATTATTTTTACAACTTAATTATTTATTAACTTAATTATTTTAACTTAATTTATAATTAATTAATTAAAATAATTAATTAACTTAATTATTTTAACTTAACTTTAATTTATTTATAACTTAATTATTTTTATAAACATAATTATTTTTATAACGTAAATATGGTTTTATTCCGATACTAAAATAGCGAGTTACTTTGATTTTCGGTTAAAAACTACAAAAATTTGAATAACATCTCGTTATAGTCACAAAGAAGTCTCTCAAAGATGCTGAAAAATGATTCATTATAAAAAAAAATTCATTGCGATTACTGAACTTCTAAATGGAATCAAGCCATCTGAAAGATATTTTCGTGGTTTCCCTTCACGTATAATGCAAAATATGATTGTTTTCTCAAATTTTTATTCAAGCAAGGAAGAAAAATATTTATACCATTATTAACCACTCCAAAAACCAGAGTAAATGCTTTATTATAAAACTGATACGTCCAGAATTTGGAATTATGATGAACTTGCCTGTATAATTTGATTCAATAAACTGATTTATTTTCTGCTTCCCTTCTTACCATTATTATTATTTTTTTTTAAGTGAAAAATGATTCTTCTACATTACTGTTAGAAAATTTGACGGTTCATCAGGTTGTCTTTTGTCAACATCTGAATAAAATTCGAGCAAATAGTATTATATTTGTAATGGCGAAAATATCCAAATGATAAAATAAACATGAACTTTTTTTACAGTGTTAAAATTAAAAAACTTAAGTACTCGGGTTCCTATGATTTTATTATTTAACTAATAACTTATTCTAGTATGCTATATTGAAATATCTGATATATGTTATATTGAAATATCTGATATATGTATTTTGATATATCTGATATATGTATATTGAAATATCTGATATATCTGGAGAAAAAAAAATTTCTAACCAAATGTTCTTTGAGTAAGGAAGAGACAAAAAATACCTGTTGATTTTTTTGAAATATACTTTCTATCACAAACGCCTTAAAACTTTGTTCTCGATAAAAATAATTTCAGATGATTTTAATCCTTCATCTCTTATTAACCTCGTTATATCATGCTTTTGATCAAAGTTTAGCAGCGTGTGCGTTCTTTCTCTCCTAAATATTAATTTGATCCCTACACACGTTTTTTATTCCATTACTTATAAGGATTCGTAAAATATATATTAACTGCCCGGATTAGTGAACAACTGAATTATCTTCTTCAAAAATGGGAGTTAGGGGCCGTTCAAAAAGTACGTACACAAAAATGGAGAAATTTTAAACCCCTCCCCCCCTTTGTACATTACCGTACATAAGGTCTTACTCCCCCCCTTAGAGTACGTACATTTTATTAGTCTACCCCCCTTTTTCATAAAAATTAAAATAATTATGTTTTAAATAAAATTAAATATTTACTTGAGGAGTGTGTAGGATAAAGTCAAATTTAAATTTTGTGTATGTTTATAAAGTACGTACTTTGTATAATACCTCCCCCCCTCCCCATCGTACAAAACCGTACATAATAGCAAATCCCCTCCCCCCCTTCGGGATGTACGTACTTTTTGAACGGCCCCTTATTTAATTTAAATTTGATACTTTTGTGTGTGATCATATCTCAGTGTCAACCATATCGGTGTCACGTATCAATGACATCCAATAAAAATCTAACTGTCAATGAACTTAACTGAGGAGAAGGGATTAATTGAATGCTTAATAAAATAAGAGCTTTCTTTGATGATATGTTTTTTAAATTAGTGGTGAAATCGTCTAATAATTATTTTTAAAAATCGTTGCAAGAAAGGTTTGCAAGCGTATTTTTTTTTTCAGACTCATGCGAGTTAATTCAAATCAAATAAATATACTATATGTACTCTCTTTTTCTTTCTTCCGGATTCTAACGAATTAAAGAGTATTCATACTTATCAAGGTATTTTACAACAAAGTGCTAACATAGTACAAAGGTGCATATACTTGTATTGATTTCTGTGTATAGATTTTTTTTTCCTTCTATATTTGCTTTCGGAAATTTAGCTGTATAATATTTTATACCCAATTATGTAATTCTGTTGCGATCGTAATTTTTCTTAGAAAATTATTATTTAGATTAGTTGAATATTCATAAAGTACGTTAAGAAGAGGTTTGAAAAAAAAAAGTAATCAATATCATGCGTAAATGCTTTGGTTTTTTTTCCTTCTTTTTTTAATAATGTGTTACGTTTGTTTTTTTAAATCATTCATTGCCACTTATTTAATTTAATTACATATAATGTCAGGATAAAAGCATATCTCAGTTTTTACAAAAGCACGTGAGAATGTAATATTTCATGAAGTTTTCCTGCTGGTTTGTGTTTAGAGTGATAAATATTTGTTTCAAAACTATAATTTATGTATCTGCAACTGTATCTCAGGACTGACGTTTAACAGTTAATTCAATAACTAGCATTTTATTCAAGTGTTCCACACCCACCCGTAACTCTCTAGAAACTACATTAAGAGACACTACTCATGCATGTTCGTATCATATGCTAAATGAACACCAGTTATTTATTCTTCTAAGAATATAGTGTTTGTTTTACTTGCAAATTTCAGATCCCCATTTGTAGAGCACCCTGTTGACATGAATGAAATATTGTAAAACTCATATAGAATATAACTGCATGATATATTCTATATAGTGATTAACTCTTCTTTACTTGAATTTTTTTTCTAGATAGCTAACTCTAGCAGAGATGACTTATGTGTCCTATTTCTAGAATTGAACCTTTATCAATAATAATGATTTTTTATATGATTGGTCTGGGCATTAAATGAAATAAATATAAGTATATCGATTATCACTAAATGTCAAGTTTACTACGATGTATTGCAAATTTATTCAATTTCTTTTACTCGTCATGCAAGTCAATTTCCTGAAATTTTGAAATTTTTTTAAATTCAAATTGACACTATTTAGCGATAAAAAAAAAATCTTTGGATGCATTCTCAGATGTATAAAACAAGCTTTTAAAAATTTTACATAAATTTTACTCAGGTATTTGATAACACCTTTAATATTTACATGATTTCGTTATAATTTTTTTCTACAAATAACTAATTAATAACTGTTGTTATATTCATTTAGTAAAGTTAATAAACAGTATACGATTTGATAATTAAGAGTTCATTTAGAGCAGAAAACAGAACAGGAATAAATTTAACTTCATCATAGTTATATTCTCTAAACAATAACTGCTTCTTTTTTTTCCGTAAAAAAATCACTGAATTTTAAAAATAAAACTATTTTTTTTAAGAAAGTAAGATCAAGGCAGAAGAGATTAGATAAACAATATATAATTGATTTTAACAAATTAAATTTAGACATTAAAAAAAAAAAACTTATAAGGATAGAAAATTTTTTTCTAAAATTAAGTATTTACGTAGATAAACTATTTCAGCTTAAAAATTGGGTTTTAACTTCTAAAATAAATTTATATAAATTAACACATTTAGTTATATTTTTTAATCAAATCATTTTATGTAAAATAATATGTTTCTTAAAAATCTAGCAAATCTTTTTCGTGCATAACATGACCCTGTTTAATCATAACGAACAACTGAAAATGTGTTTCGCTTATTATAATTATGTAAAGTCAAGCGTTAAGGCTAAATTAAATACTATATAAAAATATTTAAAAAATTTTCGCTTTTTTTTTAATTGTTATGTCTTTCTGTCTTGTGCATATTCCACAATGTGGTTAAGCACTGATTAATTCATTGTTTGCTTTTTTCAGTCCATACGAAGAAAAGGTATTCTGCTCACATGCTATAAATAAAAAGTGAATTTTGCAATCGTTCTTGAGGCACATTTCAGGATTTAAAAAAAAGAAAAAATAAATAAAAAAATAAATAAAAACGAGTAACTCCTTAAATTTTATGCGCAGTACAAAGAACAATAAAAAATACATACTCTAAATATTCCTCTACCGGTAATTTAAGAGTTTACGGTCTTCAGTAACACGGCTGAAAAGGAGACATGAAAACCTTTTTGTAAAGTTATATCACAAAAATTTTACTACATTTTTAATTAATACTAGAAAGACTGAAACTTAGTATTACCTATATTGCACTCTGAAAAAGTATTACTATGCATTCTGAAGGAGTAACTAATGCGTAAAAAAATTAATTTATGTAATTTTCACCCATACTGCCCTTTTACCTATAGTATTTTTACCTATATACCTATATTGCCCAAAAGCAGTCAAAATGATTGCATTCTGAAAGAATGGCTAATGTGTAAAAAAATTAATTTATGTAATTTTTATAATTTTTTATATTATCTACAGTTATATAACAAGCTAATAATAAATATTAAGGGAATAAAAATTACTTCACTTGGGAAAAAAATTTATGCATTATTATTCGTACAATTTTTGAAAATGAAAAAGCGGTCAAAATGACTTCCTTAGGCAATCTAGTGTNGGGCCCGGGAACATCGCGACTGGTTCATGAATCAGTGGCAGAGAGTTGCCTGGTCAGATGAATCACGGTTTATCATTCATCCCACCGTGGCAGTGTCAGGATACGCTGTCTTCCAGGCGAACAGTTGCTCCCTCAATGTACTGTAGGCCATACACAGTATGGTGAGCTACAGATCTAGCCTCACCTAACTCTATTTAAAGTTTTAAATTTATTTAACAGAAAGTAGGAAATGTTTCCCCTTTAATATTGCGACGTAAAGTAACAACAACAACAAAATTTTTACCTGTATTTTGAATCTTAAAATCATCAAGAGAGGTGGCGTTTTTTTTTTAAACCTTAAGACACATTGGGGAATAAAATGAAACAAAACATTATTAAATACTATTAGATGGTTCTGTTATATTCTGATAACTGAGCTATCGTAAGAGTATGGGAAAACAGAATCATTTTATTAGATCTCCATGATTTCATACAGAGATCAGGGTTAATCAGGGATATTTTAAATCAGAGTTGTTCAATAACTATCAAAGCCCAAACTTGGAAAGAAAACCAAGTAGGTTATTTTCTTGCATTTTATTATAACAAATAGACTATATATTAAGATTATACTAATAGAATAATATTTATATTTCTGCTACTTCAATATTCTGCATTTGAAAATTTTAATTAGCTTCTTTTAAAAATAATTATTATTAGAAAAAGGAGATAATGTACTCAGGTGTTTTCGCAAAAATTCGAGATATTAATTCACAAAATAATTGAAACTACTACTGTTATAACAAGATTAGAATTGCAATTCACTGAAATAGGAAAATAATACATTTATAAAAGTGCATTTTAACTACTATTTTGCTAACCTATGAGTCTAATTATACTTTTCCAATGATAGCACCCTTTAACTGGTGAAATACTTGTTCAGATGCATCCTTTGTTATTGAAATATTAGAGCTTATTCTGGAAGCTCCCTTTCACTGTAAAAAACATTGGACACAACTCAGAAAAGTAATGCAATGCACCATTGCATAAAATAGTTTTTCCAAGTAAAAAAAAAAAATTTCCGCAGTGGACTGATCGTTAAGACACGGTTCCCAGCAGATCACCGAAGTCAAGCATCACTGGCTGCGGTCAGTGTGCGGGTGGGTGACCACTTGGATCTGTCTGCGTAGGGACCGAGGGTGTGCGGTATTGGTCCTCGTTAAACTGTTCTACCGTAAAGTGCTCGACTTCACGTGCAGGTCGTCGGGCTACCGAAGCGGGGGTGCCATCCCCTCTGCAGAGGATCAAAATTGTGATGACATGTCTTCGGATGATCCTCAGGGATGTTTCCCAGACCGTCGCCAATAGCCCATTGCAGCTCTAGTGCGACGTAAATTAACAACAACCGAGTAAAAAACTTTATTTGAATTAAAATAAATAATTTAATTCTTCGTTAAAACATTTAGCAGTTTTTTTTATAATTCTATTTTAAAACAGAATAGGTAAAACCTACAAAGGTAATTGGACCTTTTTACTCTCATTTAAAATAGTATTGTTACTTGTGACTAATGACATAGATAATGAAATGTTTAAATAATTATTATTAATGGCTTGGTTAGGAATAAAATTTATGGTATTTATTTATGCAGCAAGACTAAACTACAAAAATTAAAAGAAATGAAGACAAAATCAGACGAAATTGGAAAAACCCATTTCTTGAAAAAACCTGAATCGGTTCTTTCAGGGATTCGATATTATTTTTTTTTTTAAAGTTTTTTAAAGTAATAAATGCATTTATCCAATACTGCATTATTTATAAGTATATTGTGTTATGCCTGAAATTTTCATAAGAATTTCCATGTTCTTTAATATTAAAACTTTCATTATGTCAAGAGAAAAATAAAACAAGATATCTTTAATTTATAAGTAATTGAACTATATACCTACCCTGGAAAAAGGACATTATATAATTCTGAAGAACAGCATTTTTATGTATAGAACTGAGGAGCAAACAGCCAGCATAACTCACTCCTATACATATGCTTCCAATACATTTATATTTGTAAGTAGACTTGTTAACATAATGTATAGAAAAAAGGGAAAATTTTTACTTTTTATTAAAATATTAATGGTAGAAAACGTTTTTATGAAATACTTTTTAAATAGTCTAATAAAACAACTTTAATTAATTGCCTAAAATATTTTACCACTGAAAAAATTAAGTTAAAAATTCCCAACCCTGGTCTTTTGCTCCATAATTAGCTGATTTTCATGGTCCTGATAAATTTTTTTAATAAATATTTTAGAACTTTTGTTCAATCACTATGGAAAGAGATAATTTTATATATATATATATNAATTTGTGGTACATTGTTAGTATGCATTTGCATTTCATATTAAAATATTGATACTGATAATATTGATATTGAGCTAATTGATAATGTTCATGAAAAATCATAGTAATTGTTAAATTTTCTACACTTTAATTACAGCCTAGAATAAATTTTTATAAATAGTAAAGCAAACAGATTCTTCTAATTAGAAGAAAAACGATCACAGTACAAGGAACAGTACAGCTTACAGAAAAGTCACTTAAGTTCTATCCACTCATGAAAAGATTCCTGAAAATTGTAATAATCTGAAAAAAAAAAAGAATTAAAAGCAGGGGCGGATCTACTTAAGGGCTTTTTGGGCTGCAGCCCAGGGCCCCGTGGATACAAAGGGCCCCAGTCCCCACTGAAAACAATAGGTGATATTTTGAATTTAAAAAAAAATATCTAATATTTAAGAAAAAAATTGTTATAAGGTTGGCAACCCTGAGAACAATCAATTCATGCATGTGCGCGTCTATCGAACGGAACAGGGAATTCCCCGTCGCTTGTTTTTGGTCAGTGTATTCTGCACTTCTGTTCGCGTCGTCAAAGTGACAAATTGTTTAGTTTACTAATAAATGATAATTTAAAAGTTATAAAGACCGGACCTTTCTCTTATTTTACTTTTAATTGAAAGTATATAATCAGTATAAGAAAAGATTTCCTGCTCTTAGTTGGTAAGTAAAAAGAATTATAAATCATGTTTTTTTTTGTTTTTAATGTATTTTTTCAATACTAAATGAACTTTTTAATCGATTTTTAATAATAATTTGTGAATTACTGCACTCATTACAAAGCATTAAAATGTGACGTGAAGAACAATATTACCGTAAACCGGGGCGAGTCTACCCCTTTTTTCAGTTTGTCAACTTTCAAGTGGTCAAACTTTTGTAAATATTAAAGAAAAATAGGCTTTTAATAGGTGTTTCGGAATCGCTCATACTATTATAAGTAACTATATCCAATACATATAATAATTAGAAGCACAAAAAATTGCTTTACCCCACATAGATATAATGCAATGAAAAAGATACCTAATTAATTATAATGTAAGAGATTAAAATATCTACAAATATAAAATATGTCGCAGGTGCATACCAATTTTAGATTTATGCAGAGAGGCAGCAACAATAAATGACTAGCAAGTGAAATTGTCACACTAACAATTATTTAGGCAAGAAATGTGACACTTATACTTACTCAGCATCAACACAAGTCTTTGACAGCATGTATTCCAGTAGGTATTTCTATTCCGACAAATTATGGTCATAACAAGCAATTTCATCACTCCCATTTAAGACAAAGACATGCTGAAGGAGCTTTTAAAGGATACACCTGATTAGTTGATGAAAAGAAAGTCTCAACTTGCAACAAATCTAGATATGCAAAACACGAAGACGCACAAATTACAATTTCTGATACAATTGCTACTTACTTGTGCTTCTTCTCAACTATTCAAATTCTATACTAGTCTCTCCATATTATTCTGAACTATAATATTAGATTTAAAAATGTCATTTACAGAAATGTTTAATAAGTGGAATCTTACAAATGATAAAAAACGTAAACACAAAATCTAAAACTTTAATGTATGTAAAATTTAATAAAGGCAATAAGACATAGTAAAAGTACATTGAAATTCTTCATATTTCTTGCAATTAATTGTTTTACTCACTACAACAAAAAATAATTTGGACTTTTAACCACAAAAAATGTGTAAAAAATAATGATGCGACAATAATGAAACAAAATTTGATGAGATACCATATTAATAATTATGTAAGATATTAAAATACATATAAATTATATATACATATATTTTTAATAGAATTTTCTTTATATAAAACTATAAATATTAATAATANAAAATATGTCGGAGGTACATACCAATTTTAGATTTATGTAGAGAGGCAGCAACAATAAATGACTAGCAAGTGAAATTGTCACACTAACAATAATTTAGGCAAGAAATATGACACTTATACTTACTCAGCATCAACACAAATCTTTGATAGCATATATTCCAGTAGGTATTTCTATTCCGACAAATTATGGTCATAACAAGCAATTTCATCGCTCCCATTTAAGACAAAGACATGCTGAAGGAGCTTTCAAAGGATACATCTGATTAGTTGATGAAAAGAAAGTCTCAACTTGCAACAAATCTAGATATGCAAAACACGAAGACGCACAAATTACAGTACAAATTCTATACTAGTCTCTCCATATTATTCTGAACTATAATATTAGTTTTAAAAATGTCATTTACAGAAATGTTTAATAAGCAGAATCTTACAAATAATAAAAAACGTAAACACAAAATCTAAAACTTTAATGTATGTAAAATTTAATAAAGGCAATAAGACATAGTAAAAGTACATTGAAATTCTTCATATTTCTTGCAATTAATTGTTTTACTCACTACAACAAAAAATAATTTGGACTTTTAACCACAAAAAATGTGTAAAAAATAATGATGCGACAATAATGAAACAAAATTTGATGAGATACCATATTAATAATTATGTAAGATATCAAAATACATATAAATTATATATACATATATTTTTAATATAATTTACTTTATATAAAACTATAAATATTAATAATAGATAAGGTTAATATAAAATATAGTACAACGTAATATATTAACTCCGTAAACAAACCAAGATTAAATATATCTTTAATTAAAATGTATACTTATTCAGTATCACAACTTCCTTCTTAATGTTGATTTGACAGAAAACTGGACACGACGGATCAAAACTGGAATTTCAACAAGCACTGACCTGGAAATCGTAATAATTCTCAGGCCAGCATGGTTGAAAATTCAGTCGATGAAGGAACCTTCTCTCTACATTTAAGGATGCATCACAATAACTGATGATCATAACAACCTGGAAGAAAACTAAAAGCATTGCAACTGGATAAACAAAACATGAAGCACAAATTGTGATACAACAGAACTTGTTCTTTCCAATTATTGATTCATGAACCCTTAATATTATTCAAAATTTTAATATTAATTTAAAAATATCATTTATAGTAGTAATGCTATTCTTGCATCATCAAACAAATAATGAAGTATGTAAGCATAAAAACTTTAGCACATGTAATCCAAATTTCAAAAACTAGCAATATAATAAAATCAGTGTATCTGCTACATTTTAAATTACCAAGTCCATGATTAACTCCAAGAATTTTTCAAGACTTTATAAATTTACTATTATCTCTGACAAAAACACAACAGCAAATTTAAAAAAGCATTATAATAACATTAATTGAAATGATTGGTATAGCCAAAACTGTTGTAATCTGCATCCTCAGTTGATTTTTAATTTAAAAAACAGAATAAATAAAGAGTTGAAGCAATAAAATAGCAGAAAAATACAAAAGCAATTAATTTCTTTTTTGCAAAATTATATTCTAAAAATACTTTTCTTGCTCATTGATAAGGAAAGAAATACTTCTGATTTTTCAGTTCTCATTTTAGAATAAAAAAATTGCCAATGACTGGCTTGCTTCAACTAGAATCTTAAATTGATATAATAAAAAAATAAATAATAAAAATTCTTAAATCACTAAAGTTTAAACGATAATTTGCTCTGGAAATGATGTTGTTTCTTCCATTTGTTGAAAGAACACAATTTTTAAAGAACACGATAAAAACATTTTATATTTTAATAAAATATGACTGTAAGTGTGGAGTTAGTTACAAATTCAGATATTTGGTACATCAAGACTTTCGGGGGAGGGTTAAATTCTATTTCAAAAGTTAGATTAATCAGTGATCCAAATCCATGACTTTCTAGGTGCGCTGATACTTTGTAAAATGTAAATCAAGGAAAGTTGATAACTTCTTATTGGTAACTTTAAGTTTAGGGTGTAACATACTATTAATTTAACCTTTTATTCAAAAGAGAAAAAAAAGGGGCTTCTTTTCAACTTTGTATTGTTAAAGTATAACTTATTAGTCATTCATATTTCCTTTCAAATAATAAATAATATTCAAGAAAATTCAATTCACTCACTAATTCCAATATACTTCCATTCCATTATAACCAATATAATAAATAGGAGCACAAAAAATTGCTTGAATAAAAAAAAAAACTCTACCAACTCCACATAAATATAATTTAATGAGAAAGATACCTAATTAATTATAATGCAAGAGATTAAAATATGTACAAATAAAAAATATGTAGGAGGTACATACCTGTCAACAACTTTATTGAGTTGATCTGACTAAAGATCTATGAGGATAAGCAACAACACAACATACTAATTATAGAGTTATGCAGTGAGGTAGCAACAACAAATGACTAGTTAGTGAAATAGTTACACTAAGGAGTATTTTGCCAAGCAATGTGACACTTATACTTACCCAGCATCAGCACAAATCTTTAATAACAGATATTCTTGTAGGTATTTCTTTTCCTACAAATTATGGTCATAACGTGCAATTTCATCGCTTCCACGTAAGACATAAAGATACACTGGGGCTGGTGAACCAGATTTTAAAGGATAGGAATTTACCTATCTTATTAGTTCATGAAAAGATATTCTTAACAATTGCTTACTACATTATTGAGCTATAAAACGTATTCGCCATTTTCACCATGCTAGAAAAAAAATCGGGCATTTGAGCTCTTGGCGATAGAATTAGTTTGGCAATCACCCATTTCAGCTGATCGCCAAAGTTTAGGGTTATAAAACGGCGGGCATTCAAGACAGTGCGTCTGAATGAATAAATACAATTGCCAATTTGATTTGCATTGTTATCACCTAATTGTTGTTTCAGATTTAAATTAACAATCATAACACTTGAACACACTATCTGGATTCGCGATCGCAACACTCGAATACGCCATCTGGGGAGAGACCGATTTCATGCCTTTAGCCCTTCTCCTCAAAAATATTTTTTAAAATTTCCGTGACACTTTTCTTTAGAACTATGTTTAATGTAGTTTTCATTTCCATATAGTTTTCCAACTTAAAAGATTTTAATCTATATGAAAATCAAGAGAGAAACTAACGTACTTCCTTCCTCTATGACTTTCCACACGCTAATGGGGAAAGCATGTGAAGTGTTGCCATAGGTAGAGCGTTCTGCTCGACGCCACCTGCAGCCCATTTCGATCGCCAATAGAAAACCGGTTCCATGTCTGGAGCCTCCCCTTGGCCTCTCCTCCTCTGCTGACAACAGAGATGGGCATTCTTCATTCAGAATAATAAATTATTATTCACAATCTTCCTGAATAATAAATAAAGGTTTATTCATTAGTCAAATATATTTTGAATAAAAAATGAATTAGTCATTATTTTTCATCATTATTCTTTGTTCTTCAGTTAAGTTAAGAACAAATTAATAATTTCACTGCTCAACAAAATTGGGCGCACAATACTGAAACTCCCTACAATGTGATTAGCTAAAAATATAAAGTACAGAATAACAAACTACTTGTAATCACCATTCTAAGTAGTCACAATAGCAAGTAACTACAATTTCTGATAAAAAAAAAAAAGAGATTCACATAAAACATGTTACTGTCACTTGAAAAAATTCGAGTGACTGTACCTCACAGCTGTGTTTGAATTTTCTTTTTATTGTCACGTAAATATTTGCATCAGAATTTTCATCCTATAAAGGTAAAAAAAATAATTTTTAAGGAATATCATTGTTTAGGTTAAAGAAAAAAAGCAAGCGGTAAATCTTATTTTTGTTGGCTGCTAATATAAAGTACTCAGAAATACAAAGCGAAAATTTTCCTTCAAGGAAACGAAATAAGGCAAATACCAGCCTTTTCATAAAAAAATTTAATAAATATTGAGACAATCTTATGCAAAAACCTTATTCTAGGGAAAACAAGTAAACAATCATAAAACCTTGTTTTGGGATTGTTGGATTTAAAAGCTTAGGAAAATATTTCTGTTGAACCTGAATTATCTGTTTAGTGGCTTAACAGATACCCTGCAATAACATGCTATATCAGTTTTTGAGTTTTGCCTTTTTAACTTGCTCAATTAGCTGGACCGGGTTCGAATCTTAGCAATGGCTGGTAGACACGAATTCTGCACCAGGCTCACCCCGACTACAGTAATGACGTAAAATATCCTCAGTGGCAGAAGAATCATACGGACCACCTAGTTTATTAATTTTT